GATGTCTCTCTGTTAACTCTCTGCCCTGTTGACCTATCTAATGGAGATAGTTGGGTATTGAAGTCCCCTACTATTAATGAGTTGGGATTAATCTGGGTCTTAAAGTCCTGTAGTATTGTTTTTATGAAGTTGGGTGCACCAAAGTTTGGTGAATATATGTTAATGATTGTAATATCTTCTTCATTTATTGTTCCTTTGATTAGAATGAAGTGGCCCTCTTTATCTCTTCCGGTTAGTTTTATTTTAAAGTCTTTTTTTGTCAGATATTAGAATTTCAATGCCTGCTTTTTCTTAGTACCACTAGCTTGGTATATTTTTTTTTTCCATCCTTTCACATTAAGATAGTGCCTGTCTTTGACAGTGAGATGAGTGTTTTGCAGACAACAAAAAGATGGGTTTTGTTTCTTAATCCATTTACCTAGTCTGTGTCTTTTGATTGGGGAGTTCAGTCCATTAATATTTAAAGTTATTAATGAAAGATGAGTATTGAATCCTGTCATTTTTATTTCTGTTCACATTCTCGATTTAGCTGTACTTTCCCACAGTTAAACTTTCACTGAATTTCTTTCTGCAACCCCTTGGGTACAGTTATTCCTTTATTCAGCTGTTTGTATTACTTCCAGAACTCGCTGAAGGGCTGTTTTTGTGGACATGAATTTCTTCAGCCTATTTATGTTATGGAAGATTTTTCTTTCCTCTTCAACTATAATAGACATTTTGGCTGGGTATAATAGTCTTGGTTGGCATCTGTGCTCATTTAAAACTGGGAAGACTTTGGTGCAGGCTCTTCTGGCTTTCATAGTTTGCACTGAAAAGCCAGCTGTAATCCTAATGGGTTTTCCTTTATATGTGACTTGTTGTTTCTCTTTTGCAGCTTTCATAATTGTCTCTTTGTTTTGTACATGTAGTGTTTTTACTATGATGTGCTGTGGAGAGTTTCTTTTCTGGTCCTGTCTGTTTGATGCCCTATATGCTTCTTGTATTTGCATGGGCATGTCTTTCTTTAATTTTGGGAAATTTTCTTCCATGATTCTGTTCAAGATCTGGACCATGCCATTATCTTGGGATTCTTCTCCTTCCTGTATGCCTATGATTCGTAAGTTTGGTCTTTTTATGGTGTCCCACAATTCCTGCATACTCCGTTCTTGTGATTTCTTAAATTTTTTATAATCTTTGCTTAGTGGTCTAGTTTGTCCATTTTATCTTCCAGTCCTGATACTCTGTTTTCCATTTCATTCATCTGATTGGTGAGGCTTTCTGCTGTCATTTCTAATTGGCTTACTGAGTATTTCACTTCCTTCTTCATTTCAGCCTGAGTATTCTTCAATATTTCTAATTCCTTTCTGAATTCATTCAGAAGTTTATCCCTATCTTCCTTCAATTTTTTCATTTCTTTGTGTGTTCTTTAAATTCATTGAATTATTTTATCATGTTTATCTTTTGAGTTCCATGTCCTGCATTATCTCTAGGGGTTCTCATAGTCCTCTAGAGGACTATTGGTATTTTGTGTGGATATGTTATTTTGTTTTTTTATGATATTGTTTTTTCTCTGTGATTTTAACATGCGAATTTCTTTTGTAGTTTGTGATTCTTGTGTGAGACTCTTTGGTTTTTCGTGTTGTTATTTTTTCTCTGTGATTTGATGTGTGGATTTCTTTTGTAGTTTTGCGCATGAAAAGCTGATTTTTCTAAGCTTCTGGTTCTCTCTTTTGATTTTATATTGGAGTGGCCAGATTGCTTTTGTCTTCAGGAGTTCCCACAGAGGCCCAAGTCAGATGAGGATCAGATGCTCTCAGGCTTTCTCCTAAGGTCTGGATCCCTCCAGAAAAGATGTTGTCCTCAGGAATTTGGGTGTTGGACTGGCCTGGGAGCAGGGCCCAGGAAAGATGCTGGTCTTGGGCAGCTGGTCCACATGCTACCCAGAGATATGAAGGGAGATGGGGGCTGGAAGAGGCCCCCAGGGCTCCTGGAGACTGCAGGGAGGAACTGGGTTGGTCTGGATGCAAAGGATCAGATAGATGAGATATCAGCTCCAGAGTCCAGGAAAGAGGATGGCAGGTTGTGCAGCCCAGGGAAGCAGAGGGAGGTGAGGGCCAGATCAGGCCCAGTGGGGTCCTGGGCACCATGAGAAGGTACTGGGTTGGTCTGGATGCAAAGGATCAGGAAGCAGTGGTGGTTCCCCAGTGTCTGTAGTGCCAAGACAAGGAATGGTAGAGTATCCAGGCTAGGAGGAGAGATGGTGGGGGAGTGGATATGGGAGGGTGAATGAGGCTCGGGGGAGTCAAGGCATGGAGGGCTTGATGGACATACTGAGGAGAGAGACTGGCCGGTTATGCAGGGCCAGGGAAGCAGAGGGAGGTGAGTGCTGGACCAGGCCCAGAGGGCTCCTGGGGACCCGGAGAAGGACCTGGTTTCCTCTGGATGCAAGTGATCAGGAAGCAGGGGTAGTTCCAGGCCTAGAGGTCAGGCCCAGTGTCCAGGAAAGAGGTTAGTGGGTTGTACAGCTGAGAGAAGCAGAGGGAGGTGAGGGTGGGACCAGGCCCAGAGGGCTCCTGGGGACAGCAAGAAGGAACTGGGTTGGTCTGGATACAAAGAATCAGGAAGCAGTGGTGGTTCCCCCGTGTCTGGGGTGCCAAGACAAGGAAGGGGCCTGGTACCCAGGCTAGGAGAAGAGCCGGGCAGGGGGAGATGGGTGCGTGAATGAGGCTGGGGGAGTCAAGGCACGGAGGGCATGATGGACTTACCCAGGAGAGAGGCTGGCGGGTTTGCAGGCCCAGGGAAGCAGAGGAAGGTTGTGGGGTTGCTCCCTCTCCTCGTGGGTCATTGGCCACCAGTCCACGAGGACAAAGGGAGCAGAAGCGAACAAGCCAGGTCAGGACGGCCAGTGAGCACTGACGGAAGAAAGCCCTTCCAGGGAGGCAGGTTCAATGATGCAAACAGCTCCAGACTCAGTGAAATAGCTCCAGATTCAGTGAAATAGCTCCGTTTATTCAGTGGGAGAACTAGGGAAAATATAATATGGAGGCAATAGCCAATGCCTCAGCTGATAGGTGCTCATAGTATGCTTTATTTACATGTGGGAGTAGGCTCCTATCGTCTGACTACTGGGCAATGCCTAATTATCATATAGAAAAAACCTGGGGGTAGTTTTTACTCCAGGTAACTATGCCAAAGGTCATGTTCCAAATAAGGTCAGGCATCCGTGCTTGGCAGCACTTTTCAGGTAAGTCAGGATGAGAGCCGGAGGCCCCCTGCTGAAAAGGGGAGTCCTTCCATATGGCACCAAGCCCCTTAGAGCTATCTGGACATGGAGGACTACAACCCTAGCAGCAGGGTTCCCCAACAGAAGGTGAGGGTGGGACCAGGTCCAGAGGGCTCCTGGTGTACCTGAGAAGGAACTGGGTTGGTCTGGATGCAAGGGATCAGGATGCAGTGGTGGTCCCAGGTGGAGAGGTCAGCCCGGGTGTTCAGGAAAGAGGCTGGTGGGTTGTGCAGCCCAGGTTAGCAGCTCACTTTTATTTTTTTTTTTTTCCTGGGTAATAAACATGTTTAAAGGTATCAATTTTCATTTTAGTAAAACTTTGTCTTTTAATCTCAGAACCTTTGATTTGTCCAGATAGTATTGTTATTTTCTTTAAAAAAAATTAAATTAAGACCGGGTGTGGTGGCACACACCTTTAATCCCAGCACTGGGGAGGCAGAGGCAGGCAGATCTCTGTGAGTTCAAGGCCAGCCTGGTCTACATAGTGAATTCCAGGACAGCTGGAGCTACAGGGAGACTGTCTCAAAAAGACCCCAAAAATTAAGAATTTAAATTAAAAAAAATTTTTATTTATTATTTTTATTTTATGTGTATGAGTGTTATGCCTGAATGTTGGTAAGTGCACCCATGTTGTGCAATGCCCTTGGAGGACAGAAGAAGCTGTCAGATCTCCTGGAACTGGGGTTACAGACAGTTGTTAGCTGCCATGTGAGTGCTGGGATTCAGACCTAGGTCTTCTGCAAGAACAGTATTCTTAACCACTAAGCCATCTCTCCAGCTCCAAGAATTTAAATTTTATCATGTATGTGTTTATGTGTTCCTGTGTATGTGCCTGTGTATGGTGGTTCATACCTTGGGAGGCAAGAGGCAGTGGATCTCTGTGAGACTGAGGCCAACCTGGTCTACAAAATGAGTTCCAGGCCATCTGGGGCTATAAGGAGACCCTGTCTCAAAAAATACAAAAAAACTCACTAAAAAACAAAAAAAAAAATACAAAAACAACAAAACAAAGCAAAATGAATATGAGAAGTAGATTTATATGCAGCTATTAAAGGCTTCTATACATAGAAGACAGTCGGAGTGAAGGAAGCTGCCAGACAGGGGTGTAGAAACTTGCCTGAGTGGAGACTCGCTGCTCTACTATGGGGCCATATGTGGCTGGTGAGTGCCATATTGGACAGTGCAGATCGAAAAGATTATTGATTTATTGCTTTGCTCAAGAATGTTGTGTGTGTATTTCATGTATATTGCATGTATGTGCCATAGGCATATTCTCTGTACTTGTAGCATTGAAAGAGGCTGTCAGCACACTGGACTCCATGAAAGGAAGCCATCAGTTTGATAAAGACAGATATTTGGATGGACTGAAAAATGGCTTGGGTGAGTTGATTAAGCAGATAATCAGCAGCTTGTAATGATCATTTCTTTTAAATATTTCAAAATTGAATTTGTGTGAATTTCATACAATCTATTTCAACTGTATTTAGATTCCCTCTTCTGTACCCCTCACTACCTGCTGCCTAATTTCATGTAATATATAGTAAATATGAATATATATATTTATGTATATATATATGTGTGTGTGTGTGTGTAAATCATATGACTTGGCTAAGAAACCCCAGCCCTATCTGAGGAACTATTAGCAAACTATGGCTGCTGGGAGGGGGAGAGTCAGTCTACTTTAAGGGCAAGACTCTTGGTAGGTTAACCAGGCTTCAGTAGATGGACCCACACATTTAGGGACACAAATTACATCTCACTTTTAAGGGATCTTAGCCATTGGCTTTCAGTTCTAATGAGGGATATTGCTGTTTTTCTAAACTATTTTCAATTTATTTTAAATTATGTGGATATGTGTATATCTGTATGAGTATGTGCATGTGAGTGAGGGTACATGGGGAGGCCAGAGGCACTGGATCCTTGGACCTGGAATTACAGGTGGTTGTGTGCTGCCCAACATGGCTATGAGGAATCGAATTTGTGTCCTTTGCAAGAGCAGTACACAGTCTTAATTGCTGAGCCATGTCTCCAGTTCCCTTTTCTAAATTTTTATTTAAGGATTTCAAACCATTTTATCAAATATCCAATAGGTCTTAATACTTAATTCCCCCCAAATGTCATGAATTTGTTTGAATACCAACTATAAATTAGATTTAGCACTATATATTTGCAGAGATTTAAATTTTTAAATTGATTTCAATTTAGTATTTAAAGTTTTTGAATGTTTTGCATGCATATATATAAGTTCACCCATGTGTGTAATGCCCATGGTGGCCAAGGGCTGGAGAGATGGTTCAATGGTTAAGAGCACTGGCTGCTTTCCCAGAGGATCTGGGTTCAGTTCCCAGCACCCATATACACAGCAGCCACATGGTGGCTAACAACTGTCCATACTTCCAGTTCCAGGGCATCTGAGGCCCTCTTTTGGCTTCTGCAGACATTGCACAAATGGGTGCACTTACATACATGCAGGCAAAACACTCAAAAAAAATTAAAATAATAAAATAACAATTTTTATGTGTAGGAATGTTTTGCTTGCAGGTATGTAAGTGCACCCATGTGCATACAATGCCTGCAGAGGCCAGAAGAGGGTGTTGAATCCCTTGGAACTGCACTAACAGATGACTGTGAGCCACCACTTGGGAAATGAATCCAGGTCCCCTGCAAGAACAGCCAGTGCTCTTAAGCACTGAGCTATCTCTCCAGCCCTTGAAGAGATTTCACTGTTACAAAATCAAATGCCTGGATGATCCTATGGGCTGGATTGCTATTTCTGTATGTTGTTGTGTAGCTTCAAATGATGTTGTTTGTTTTCAGAATAATTTCTTTTCAAATTGAAAATCCCTTTACATGAGTATTTTAGATGAATAGTCCTATAGTTTTCTCCCTTCATCCCTTTCTCCCTTGAAAAAGGCCTTTATATTAAGTATTGTTTAATGATTTAATTAAAATTTGTTTCTGCAGCCAGTTGTGTTAAGTTTTTTATTTGCAAAAATTTTATCTGATCATCTATGTGGTTCTTAACTATATTTTAAAAGTCATCTACTGCCTTTAAATTTAACTTCAGCCAAAAAGCACAGTCAAAATTTTCCCAATGGAGGGCCAGTGATGTGCTTGTCCTGCACAGGAGACATTCTCTCTCTCTCTCTCTCTCTCTCTCTCTCTCTCTCTCTCTCTCTCTCACACACACACACACACACAAATTAAAAACAAAATATTTGACAATATCTGGGGGAGTTTTATTGTTAAAACTGATGTGGAAGGGCTGCATTAGAGAGTAAGAGGCAATAGTTGCTGCTAAGCATCCACCATATACAGTAGCAGCACCACTGTGCTCTAATAGCTGTCTGCACCACAAGTTAATAGTGCTGAGCTTCAGAAATATTTTCTTAGAGTAATCTGTAAAGTTGTCCACACCCATTTTGGAGGGATTTTAGTTTATTTGTTTTTGTTTCTCCTACCCAAGTCAAAAAATTAAGGTAAATATAATTTATCTGTTTTCTAACCTCCTTTTGTTCCAAGTAATACCTAGGCTAGTTGTGAATTATTCGTGTTCTTCAACTGCAATACTGCTCATCTATGCAAATAGACCACCCTATTTCTATGACATCCCTTAAATAGATCTTTGTTCTAGTTTACACCTCTGTAGGAAGTATGTGGGTTAAATGATAATAACTGAAACTGAATAATAACTGAAACTTAGGAAAAGCTCCAGGATTAGTAGCCAGGTAGAAGAGCCAGAAAGAGAGAGAGAAGAGAGAGATGAATTTCAGACTAAAAAGCAAGTGCTTTATTGGCAGAATAATAGGGAGAGTGTGGGAGACAGGCTTGAGCCTAGGGTGAAAGTCTTAATGACAGTCATACAGCAGGCCCTAGGCAATGGCCAGACCGCTGGAGCCACAAGGAACGCGTTGTGACATTTGCTCCCATTGGTAGATCATGAGACTGATGCCTAGACCTCGCCACTCCCTAATCACTTCCCTTGAGATTCCAAATTGTAACACTTAAATAGTGCAACAGCCTGGGTCACGTGGTTCCCAGGAATCCAGGCCCTGCACAGGAAACCAGAACCTAAGTAACCTGAAATCTGTCGTGCTAATAAATTGTCTGACTCTCCATGTTATGATGGGACACAGCCCTGCCAAAGATCTTAGTTGTAACTTCTTGATTGGACCCCTACCCCTATATAAGCTTGTACCCTTCTACTGAATGCGCCTCCGCTGACACAGTCTCCTCACCAGCCCTGGGGTCCAGGATGGACAGAAGTAGCGACTATTGGAGGTAGCGCCTGGCGAGCAGAAGAGCGGCCTCAGCACTGAACGAGCAGAAGACCTGCTTCAGTGCCAAGTGAGCAGAAGAGTGGCCACAGCTTGTGGCCGCAGCCAGGAGCAAAGGGCGGTGCCCATGCGATCGCAGGCGGTGCCCCTGTGATCGGAGGCAGCGCCCAGGAGGCAGAGCCCGTGTGATCTCAGGCAGTGCCTGTGCCATCAACACCACGCGAATGGAGAGCGGCCACAGGTGGCGCCCATGCGAGTGGAGGAGCGGCGCAGGGAGACAGCACCCAGTGAGCAGAAGAGCGGCCACAGGTGGTGCCCAGAGTGAACAGAGAGCGGCCGCAGGAGAGGAAGCATCTGTGACATGCAGGAGTGGGTGGAGGAGACCACAGCGAGACTGGGAAGATGGAGGGTGAGGAACAGTAGTCCAAGGCCTAGGGAAGAGCTCTGAGAACAGAATGGTCCTCAGTGATAAATGCTATGAGGAAAGAACTTAATTTGTCTAGTTTCTTTTCAGACTAAGGTCGGAATGCTATTCCTCATTTAATTATTTCTTTCTCTAAATATTCAGATTTTAGAAAAGAGGTTCTGTCTTGGAACCTGAAATTGCCAACAGTAAATTGTCACAGTACAGTGACCACAGTTCAAGCCTGAAGTGCTTGGGGACCGACAGCTAGAAATCAAGACACAGGGGATACAGAAGTCTATGTGCCAGTGCATGTTTATTGTGAACCAAACCAAGCTTATATAGGAATCATATCTGGAGTAACCAAGGAATAACTAAGGATACATCACTAAACAGAAAGTAACCAAGGAATGACCAAGGGTACATTATGGTACTACCAAGAATACATTACTTCCCCAACCGAAACTCACCCAACGTTGACAGTATCCAAGATTCAGCTGCATAATATTTATGATATCTTAGATATAAGGTGCACTGTTTGTGATTACTCTTAGCAACTACTCTAGTTCATTACTTCTACATAGAAACCAAGCTATCAGTGCTGAGAAACTCCGGTACCCATAAACTGAAATAGAACTCTTTAGTTATGTTTCCAAGACTGCCAATTAATCAGGGAAGCGTAGCCTGTCCACTCAGACCACAGAAGCAGAGAGCAGGGAAACTCCCAAGGTGGAAGCATTCTTTCTCCAATGCTTAAGTCAAGGCAAGCTGCCACAGCCTAAAATGGCTGTGCCTAGAAGCTCCCAACAGTAAATGTTGAGTATGGGCTTTATATTTGCTAAAAATTTCATGCACAAGAGAGTTTTTTTCAGGTCATTGACAAATGCTCATTCATTTCTAATATATCTTGCCCAAATCTAGGATCTGTGTATGAGAGAAAACATGGTTTGTCTTTCTGAGTCTGGGTCACTCCTCTTAACATAGTAATCTCCAGTTCCCTCCATTTTCCTTCAAATGTTGTAGTTTAATTTTTCTTTACAGTTGCATAACATTCTTTTGTGTATAGGTACCATGTTTTCATCACCCACTCAAATGTCTATCCTGTGGTAGTTCTGTTTTCAGTTTTGTTTTTTGAGAAACTTCCGAATTGATTTCCTTCATGTGCACACCTTAGCTCCATAGCATTATTGTGTACCATTAACTTTGATGTCTGTAATTCAACCACACTGGCTTCCCTTCAACCCTCCCCACAAATCCCGTGCTTGTTTCTTTTCAGTCCCAAACTTTTGCATATTCTATTGATTGAAATACTTTTACATGCAGTTTTTACAGCCATGTATTGTACATATTTGTCTTTGTAGAGATCAAAGAAGCTACTGACATCTTGTCACATGTTGATGATGGCCAGATTGCTGTATCTGACTTGGAGCATGCCTTAAAATATTTGAATGGTAATTTAGCTGAGGAGGACTTTAATGAAACCCTTAAACATTGCAATATCAGTGGTGAGCTTAAAAAAATTTTTTTGCTTGAAATTTTCTTCATTTTTCTTCCTTAAAAGAAGAAAAAGAATATATAAAAAGTATATATAAAAAGATGAAAGAAAGAGTCATCCTACTGGAAGCTATAAGTGAAAGCCAAATAATCTAATAATTTACATATTTGTTGATATCTCTAACTTCTCATATTCACCTAGTTATGATACATACTTGTTAATTTCCATTTATTACTTACAAGTGTGAATGGGGAAATACTGCACATTGTGTAATAGAATGTAGACATGACAAGTGCTTTGTTTTGCTATGCATTCTTTTTTTTACTGATAATAAATGATAAAAATTTATCTTAAAACAATTATTTGGCATACATATAATTTTACCATGTATTAAAGACAAAAGTAAAATTTTATGCTAATGTAGCAGAGGTTGACCTTGAATTTCCTAATCTTCCTGCCTCCATTTCCTTGGTTTGTGGGATTATAGGAGGGCATCACCACACTCAGCTCATTTATTTTCCTTTTGTTTCCTTCCATGTGTTTCATTATTGGTTTATTGCTGTTAGTTTTTAAAAAATAATTAATTGAGAATTTCATACATGCATATAAGGTGTTTTGATCAAATCCATGCCCACTCCTTCCCCTCCAACTCCTCTCATATTGCCCTATCACTATATTTTTTCTTTTTCTTCTTCTTCTTTTATTAATTTATTTTTATAGGGCTTTTGGCTACTTTAACATCCCCCCTTCTGGAGGTAACCCTAAAATCTTTTAAGAATTAGATTAAAGCTCCCAAATATTTTTGATATTTTTGGCCTTTGGAATGGAATATGTTGCTAAGGGGCCCAAGAACACTGTGAATTTTAGCCAAGAAACTGGCTATTTTTTTTTTGTTACCCTAACTGTCTAGCCAATTCCTACCTCCTATTCTTATCACGCCATCCTCTAACGAGGTTACCCAAATTAACGATAGGGAATCGGGACTCAGACTGCTCTCTGGCTTCTTCCATGCTGAACAGGAACTCAGGGTAAGACAATTGGAGTACCCCTTCAGTGGGTCTATCTAAAAGACTCACAAACTGCATAACTTATCTCTAGGGGGAAAAGAAAGTCCCTGGCTGGTGAATAGGAGATGTGAAGGAGAAGTAAAGGCAAGAGTAATTAGCATAACATGTTCTAGACAGGGAACTTAGAAAAAAGTCAGAATAGGGCAAATTTCAAATGTTCATATGAGAGTCCATTGGAATTTCTTGACAAGGGTTTCCAAAAGCATCCCTCTATTGTGTTCCTCCTCATTTTTCTTTTGTCTTCCAAAGCTGGAGTGATGGATTCAGGATTTGTTTCAGGTATTTTGATAGCTGTTGGAGTGGTTAGAATCAGTGTCAGTTCCCTCTCAAAGGCTCCTAGATAAGGGGAGAAAACAATAGAACAATAGCTGGTTGTCTCCCTTAGCTACAGGTGGGCACTACAGTATTGGAGACCAAGGTCTGAAGTCTTACATCTGAGCAGCACTTTCTGGTTTGGAACAAAATCATCATTGCAAAATAATTGTCTAAATAACTTTTTATATAGACTTAAGCCTAATGTCTGGGAAGTGTGATCCTTTGAACTCTTAAAGAAATATACTGATGACTTTACTCTTTGTTTATACTTTGCTTTTGAGTGTTTAAGACCATACAGTTGGCCCAAATAAATCAATTTATTTTTATATTTAAGGTCATTTGAGGATCTGTTCCTCAGGGGTCACATGGGTTTGGGAGGAGCTCCCAGCTCCTTTCTTTTACCAGTTCAATCTATGTGAAGATAAGTCAAAGGTCCTGCTCGACCATGTCTGGCTTCACTTGGACGCATGAATGAGATGTTTCCTCTGAGTTTACCCTCCTCTTTGTAGACTGGACACTAGTAAAAATCCATCTTGTGGGGTCTCCATGGCTTCCCTGAACAAGAGGACAGGTGACTCACCACAATTACAGGATATTTTTGAGAGATGTTCCATAGTCCCCTGGAACTTGGTCGACCTTGGAGGGCAAGGGGCAAACTGTCCTTTAAGTCCCTCTGACCACATTAGTATAGGCCTCAAACTATGGCTGTTAAACATCTAATAAGGTTAGTTCTACCATTCTGGTACTTTTAATTATCATGTGCTATGTAGATAAGGCTTGGGTAAAAAACCAAATATTCTCAGATAAACCTTGCATAGATATATATTTTATTCCTTAAACTAGTTAACTAAACTATGACCATAAACATTTTAAGATTATGTGCATATTTTTGCCTCATCCTTTATATTTCATAACAGACCTACATAGACCTTCATCACTTGCTTGGTTTTCTCATTTTTTCTGTTTTGGAAAATATCTTCATTCCCATATCCCTTTAACATCTTTTACATTCTCGTTTTCTTTTTTTAAAAAATAATTATGAGATATAATAGCATTAACAAATAAATTTTCCATCTGTTGTGAGACTTCTTTTCCTGGGGATGCTAAGCAATGCTTATTCCCTTTTAAGGTTCTAGTGTCAAGCCAATGTTTGATTAAAGTTTTACTGGGAACCAATGAATTTATTGAGCTTACTTACCGAGATAACTGAGGGGTTGCTGAGGTGTATGTACGACCTGAGGGTATGCACACTGGAAAGCCTTTACCTAGCATGGGTCATGTCTTCCTAGCCTTCCCCAGATTGTATACATTAGCTCTCCCCAAATTCAGGAGGCCATGTGTGATTAGGGCCAAATTACATACAGTTGGCTGGGATGAGTGGCTGGATACTCCAGCGGGGGTCCAATGACCCTACTTGGCCCTCCTTTAATGAATGAGCACAACCATCAACAAACCCAATTGTGAGGATGTTTAGCGATCAGGCTCAGCTGAAATCATGACGATGGTAGTTATTTCATGCAGAAGGGACTGCTGTATAGCATCATCTTATTAAAAGGACCTGGAATTTAAAAGGATTTGGTGCTAGGATCCACATATGAGGGAGAACATATGTTGTTTGTTTTTCTGAGTCTGTTACTTCACATAGTATAACAATTTCTAGATCCAACCATTTACCTGGAAATTTTATTATTTCATTTTTCTTTACTGCTGAATAGAACTTCATTGTATAAATATACCACATTTTTGTTTCTTCATTTGAGAACTCCCTCTTTAGATCTTTAGCCCATCTTTTAATGGGGTCATTTGGTTTCTCAATTCTTTGTTTTCTGAGTTCTTTATATATTCTGGATGTTAAACCCCTGTCAGATGTGTCAGTGATGAAGATTTTTCCCATTTGGTGGGTTTTCTCTTCACTTTTTTGATTGTTTCTTTTGCTGTACAGTAGTTTTTTAGTTTAATGAGGTCCCACTTGTTGATTGTTGACCTTAATTCCCAAGCAACTTCTGTCTGATTTGGAAAATCCTTTCCTACACCTATATCTTATAAGTTACTGCCAATATTTTCTTCTAAGAGTTTCAGGGTTTCCAGTTTCACATGTAGGTCTTTGATCCATTTGGCGTTGACTTTTGTGCAAGGTGAAAGATAAGGATCTAGTTTCATTCTTCTACAGATGGAGATCCAGTTTTGTCAGCACCATTTGTTGAAGATGCTGTCTTTCCTCCATTGTGTGTTCTTGGCACCTTTGTCAAATATCAGGTGGCTGAAATTATGTGTACTCAGGTTTGGATCTTCAATGATGTTCCACTGATCTATGTGTCTATTTTTTTATGCCAGTACCATGCTGTTTTTTTTTATGACTATAGCTCTGTAGTATACTTTGATCTGGTATCATAATCCACCAGAGTTGTTCTTTGGGCTCAGGGTTGCTTTGGCTATCTGGGGTCTTTTGTGTTTCCATATGAATTTAAGGATGGTTTTTTCTAATTCTGTGATGTATATCTTGGGGATTTTGATTGGGACTGCATTGAATCTATATATTGCTTTTGATAGGATGGTCATTTCACAATATTAATTCTTCCAATCCATGAGCAAGGGTGGTGCTTCCATCTCCTGGTGTCTTCCTCAATCTCTTTCTTTAATGATTTAAAATTTTCGTTGTAGAGACCTTTGGTGTCTTTGGTCAGATTTATTCCAATATATTTTATTTATTTTATTTTTTTGCAGCAATTGTGAATGGGAGTATTTCCCTATATTCTTTCTCCAATTGCTTGTTATTGGTATATAGTAAGGCTACTGATTTTTGTAGATTGATTTTATAACATGCCACAATACTGAAAGTGTTGATCAGTTCTAGGAGTTTTCTGGTGGAACTTTTGGGATTGCTTAGGTATACTATCATATCATCTGCAAAAAGTGATAGTTTGACCTCTTCTTTTCCATTAATACTCCTTTAATTTCCTTCTCCTGTCTTACTGATCTAGCCAGAGTTTCAAGCACTATGTTGAAAATGAATGGTGAGAGTGGACATCCTTGTCTGGTTCCTGATTTTAATGGGAATGCTTCCAGTTTTTCTCCATTTAGAATGATGTGGGTTGTGGGTTTGTTGTATATAGCTTTGATTATGCTGGTGTATGTTCCCTTCAGTCCAGTTCCCTCTAGGACTTTGAACATGAATGCATGCTGAATATTGTCAAAAGCCTTTTCTGCAGCTATTGAGATGACAATGTGTTTTTTGTCTTTGAGTCCATTTATATGATTAATGATTGACTTGCGTATATCGAACCATCCCTGCATCTCTGCAATAAAGCCTAATTGATCATGGTGAATGATCTTTTTGATGTGTGTTATTTTTCATGTGGATCAGTTTTTATCAGATTGAGTTATTTAAGCCTCCTTGTTCATACTGAGTCAGTGAGCAATTATCTTCCTCTTTTTTTTTTTTTTTTGGTCTTTTTGAGACAGGGTCTCCTTGTAACCCCAGCTGTCCTGGAACTCACTATGTAGAACAGGCTGGCCTTGAACTCACAGAGATCCACCTGCCTCTGCCTCCCGAGTGCTGGGATTAAAGGTATGCACCACCACATCTGGCCTTCCTCTTATTTTTATTTGTGTGTGTGTGTGTGTGTGTGTGTGTGTGTTGTGTGTGTGTGTGTGTTGTGTGTGTGTATGTGATGTGTAAGTACCCCATGAAGCTAGAGGAGGGCATTGGATCCCTTGGAGCTGCAGTTAAGGTGGTTGTGAGCCACTGGATGTAGGTGCTCAGAACTGACTTGGGTCCCCTGGAGGAGCAGGAGTCACTCTTGACCTCTGAGCCATCTCTCTAGCCCCCACATATCTTCCTTATATGGGATTGAACGAAACCCTCCAGGCATCCCAGTTTTACTTGATATAAGTTCACATGAACTCAAATCCTTGTATTATTCTACACGAGCATTTAAATCAAGTATCTAGCTATTTATGGCTCTTAAATATATCTTGAAGATAGCTGCAGTGTTGGTACTTACTGCTTACTAAACTATACCTTGTTTCCCGGTTAACCTTTTCTTATTTCCTCCATGTGACTCAAGTCATAGATTCATACAATGTCTCATTTTACATGCTATCTGCTGGCGTTTGTATTGGGATGGTTTCTATTTTATCCATGTTGCCATTTCATTATAATTCAGACTCCTTAAGGCAGTTATATCCCTTCATTGTCTGCTGTCATGGACAGCCACATTATTGTAGCTTACCTGGCTTATGACTCTGTGTCAGTGTATGTAAATGCTAATATTTAACATGGCTGCCTCTGGGATGAGACTAAATCAGTTCAATAACAGTCTCCAAAGGGGTTTCCTGGTCTTGTCATTTAGACAAGTTAATTCCTCTTTGCTTTCATCTTTTAAGAGTAGGTATATTATTGGTACTCACATCATATAATTTTGTAAAGATTAAGTGAATATATTTAAATATATTCGCTTAGAAGTTGTATTGAAATAGTTTTAATAATTTGAAAAAGAAAAATGAACAAACATTAATTTTGGATAGCTATTATGTATCAGAGCCTTAATTTCATGTGCTGATTAAAGTATTAGGTTTTTAATGTCGGCATGTTTGATTTTGACCTTCCAGATAATATGGAAGTGGATTTAAAAGTTTTTTTAGTGGAAATGAGAGAAACTCCAAAATTTAAAAAGTCCATAGGTAAGTGAGTATTTTTGGTTCAAGAAAGGTTCTGGAACCTTGGGAGGCAGAGGCAGGCAGATCTTTGTGAGTTCGAGGCCAGCCTGGTCGACATAGCAAGTTCCAGGACAACTGAGGCTACAGGGAGGCCCTGTCTCAAAAAGCCAAAAAAAAAAAATCACATATGGATTTCCATTTTGATTTATACTCTTTAGTTTCAAAGCAATTTTCAAGCAACTTATATAAATATATAAGATAATAAAAGTAAATGAGGAAAATGGTGCAAAGTTATAAGGAGGGGAGAATAAATTATGTTGAAAAAGTCATAACAAAAGTGCCTTTGTTACTATTCCGAGGACCTTTCTCAAACACGGTCAGATTTGCCTTCCTTTAAGCAGTTCTAGATCAATGAATGGAATCAACTCAGTGTCCCCTTATTCTTTAAAAGCCTTTTCTCTTTATATTCATCCTTATCACCTTCTCTTGTTCTCTTCCTACTCCCACTGATCCCAACTAGGCCCCTTTTACTTCTTTCATATCTTTTTTTTCTTTTGACCCAATGAGTTTGATTATGGTTGCTTACAGGAGCATAGGTGAGGGGTTATTTACAGGAGCATGGACAACTGACTAATGGCTATATCACTGAAAGAAACATCCCTCTCTCCTCTATTAGCTACCAATAGATCCCCAGTAAGGGGCAGAGACTCATGAGCCCTTCCCCCAGGACCAGAGGCCATTGGAGGGCATTGGATTACCTGGAACTGGAGTTTAGAGAGTTGTTAGCCACCATGTGGGTGCTGGGAACTGAACCCAGGTTCTCTGCAAGAGCAGCCAGTGCTCTTAACCACTGAACCATCTCTCCAGCCCCAAGTCACTTAATCTTGCTCAGTTTCTTTATCTGAAAAATGACGATAATAATGACTTCTTTGAGATTATATGAGATCAAATAGGTAAAGTGAAAGTGATTAGAAGTGTCTAGCACTAAGTTTTTATTAATCATTAGCTCTTATTTTTTGGAACTATAGTCATAGTTCTATGTACATTTCCATTATTTTATGTAAGCTGAGGTTGCTAAGTGATGAGTTGTATACTGTTTCTGCTGTTGAAACATCTGCCTTTGCTGTCTTTTTTGTAGTTACACAGCTACTCACAGCTGTGCCCCAAGTTCTCCAGAATGATCTAATTGATGTCTTTGATCTCAAGAAGTTATTGATGAGCAATGACCTTCATACAGCTAATGCCTTACTGACTGAAGTATTAAAAAATGTACCTGAGCATGGTTTGTACTTTTAATGCATCTTCCCAAAAAGGGCCATTTCTCTACACGGGGAGGTGGAAGGACTGTGGTTGGAACACACAGGATGGATGGATATCTTGTACAGGCTGCAAAGGAATGGCTGGTCACACTACCCTATTGGTGTGCCAACTCTGAGCTCCATGGGGCCAGATAAAGCAGGGGAGGGAGGTCCCATCCTGTCCCTGTAGGAAGCCAGTGGTTGTACCTGCAAGGTGAGATTATCTTGTTAACTGACGGTCATAGAATGTGATCAGTCAGAATTCTATTCATATATTAAAACAGATTCCAGGAGCACCAAGTCAGGTGCCCCTTGAGAAGCTGAACTGTGGTGCTATCCAGAGATACCAGGAGGCTTTGCATACAATAGTGGCTCTGAGAAGCAGATATTTATCTATGATCAAATTAACTTCATTATTTTAATGACAGATACCGTTGAATATTATCTTTATTAAGTTCTTAAAATGATTTGAAGAGCATCCCTTCTTGGTCTATTTTCTAGAAGATATTTTTTTTTCTTTCTCAAATACTTAGTAGAACTCTTACGAAGCCATATGTACTGAGAGCTTTATGTGGAATGGCTTTAGATTATTGGTTAAATTTCTTTGAGTGAATGGGGTTATACATTATGACATTCACTTTTCTTCATTTTGATAAGCTGTTTTTTTATAAAAATGTGCCCATTTTATCTTCATTTTTGGTTTACTTTTTAAGTAATATTTTATTGATTCTTTGAGAATTTTAAGCAATGTATTTTGATCATATTCAACTCTCAACTTCTTTTGTTTACATCACACATAAAAATTATATCTATTAAATGAAGATATTAATATTGGGACAACAGCATGAACTAAACCACAGAGTTTACTTAAATTTTGTTAGCTTTTTTCACTTGTTTCCTTCAGCGTTCCAGGACCCCATCCAAGAACTCTGGTTCATTTAGTTGTCCTGCTTTGTCCTCTTGTATGTGGCGGTTTCTTGGTCTTTCCTTAGTTTTTATAACTATGACACAGTATTGATCAGATAGTTTGTATTAACCCTCAGCTTGGGTTTTTCTGTTGTTTTCTATGATAAGCCTGGAGTTAAGGGCTTTGGGGGAAGGATATCACTAAGGTAAAGTGTTCTTTTTATCGCATACAGCATATGTGGTATCAACTTGAATTGTTACCGATGGAATCAAACTGTTCCTGGGTTGAAGTGATGTCTGCTACACTGTCCATTGTAAAATGACTTTGCTCCTTTTCCTGCAGCTCCTTAAAAATCTTTTCTGCTAGCATATACTCACTGTACAAAATAATGGGTTTGATTACGTTCTTTCGTACAGGTATCTCAGACACTTTGAGCACATTGACCATTACCTTTTTCTTCCTCTTTTTCTCTTTTGCTGAACCCCTTCTTCTTCCCTCATGTCCCCCCCCCCGTACTTTATGTTTATAAATCTAGGTTTCACATGTGAGAGAAAAATGTGGTATTTTCTTTCTGAGTCTGGCTTATGGCATTTGATGTTTCACAGCCCAGCCAACACTCAAGAAGGAGGGAGAGATATCAAGGAGTTTGCAGCATGTGTTAAAACTACCAGTCCAATCAAGTATTCTTGGAGAGGACTCTGAGACTATGCAAATATCCTGTTTCTTTAAGTTTCTCCTATTATTTTAGTGGTCACCAGTGAATGAATTGCTATTGGTAGCAATTAGTACCATGACGTTTTAAAGTTGATTTTCTGTTTCTCTTACTCTAAATATATTTAATTTTTTTTCTGTAGAGGAGATTTCATTTTCCCCATTAAGTTATTAGTAGTGTGTGTTCTAATTAAAAATATTTAGCTAACTTGTATTTCATGATATTACCAATATATTTGGGTTTAAATATATCATTTTACTAAGTAAGTACTTTTTATTTCAGCTACCTCTCCCTATTCATTTTGTCTTCTTTTGGATTGCTCATTTAAAAATATTAGTGGAGTTATCTCTTCTATTAGCTTGAGAATTTTGCTTTCTTTATAATGAAATAGGTAATATTATATTCATCTATATTACAGTGTGTAATAATTCAGTTACATTTGCTATCTTTCATATGGTCCAAGAATAATACTTTAACTTAATTCCATTCTCAGTTTATTTACTATTTTGTTAAACAATATTTTGAATTATACAAATAATTGTTATTTTGAATAGTTACTTCTTTTGTTTGTTTGTTTGTTTTTTTACAGAGTCTCCTTATAGCCACACCTGGCCTGGAACTTGCTAGGTAGACCAGGCTGGCCTTGATCTCTTCTGAGATTTGCTGGAATTAAAGGAATGTGCCACCATGCCTGGATTAAATAGTTATTTTAATTCACCCACATATTTATTCTCTAAATTACTTCAGACAGCTCTACTCTTTCATTAGGTTAGGATTTAATGTTTTATTTCATTAAGAATGGGCTGAGTTTCTAGCTCATAGTTTATTTTACCTTTGTAAGTGAGGACTATTTCCTATAGTCAGAGAATTCTGGATTGTCAGTTATTTTTCTTTCAGTATGTTTTCATTTTGTGCCTGTGCATATGTGTGTATCCACATGTTACAGGTGAACATGTGTGTGTGGGGGGATGTGTGTATACAGGTGTGTACATGCATCTAGAGGCCAGAGGTCATCCTCAAGTGTCATCTCTCGTGGACTGTCTGCCTGCTTTTAAAAAATTTATTTATTTTTATGTGTATGAGTGTATTGCCTACATGTGTGTAAGTGCACCTGTGTCATGCCCTGCCTCTGGAGATCAGAAGAGGGCGTCGGATCTCCTGGAACTGGCGTTATGGATGGTTGTTAGCCGCTGTGTTGGTCCTGGGAATTGAACCTGGGTCCTTTGCAAGAGCAGTCAGTGCTATTAACCACTGGGCCATCTCTCCAACCCCGTCTGTTTTTTGATATGCAGTCTCTCACTGGCCTGGAGCTTTCTGATTTGTCTAAGTAGCTGGCTAATGAGCCCCCAGGACCCATCTGTCTCCACTTCCCTAGCAGTGAGATTACAAATGCACACCACTGTGGCTGACTTTTTAAACATGGGTTGTAGGGATTGAACCCAGGTCCTTGTGCTTGCAAGGCAAGTACTTTACCTACTGAATCATCTTCCTAGGCCTTCAATGTTGTTTTGCTTTCTTTTCATGGTAACTTTGTATGGATGCTAGGTTCTCTTTTCTGCTCATTATTATCTGTATTGGACTTTCTGGACCAGTAATAGCAGATGATCTCATGGAAGAGTAGAGATAATATTGAGTGGCATATTCAGTTCAAGAGTTCCATCTTCTGTTTCTATAGTGAACTACAGTTATTTTAATAAGCGATATCTTTTTTGAAAGATGACTCTTCTGAAATTTGGTAATATTTAGTAGGGACTTCATTTTGGAGTTTCTCTTCTTCTCCCCTCCAAAGTCCATGTAACACTGTTCACTTTCAGAGCTCGTCCTCTCTCCAAAGGCAGTACCAGCTCAAGCCTGCATTATTCGTTCCATGTGTTTAAACCCAAGTCCCTGTATTTTAGCTCCCCAGAGATTAGGGTTCTGACCCTTCAGAACCTCAATTTGGTGTTGGTGCTTCACCTGCTCCACATGGGACTGTCTCCTTGTGGGTGAGTCCTAGTTGTTGTTATCTCTTTTGCCTTACCATGACCCATGAGGATCATGCTTTCATGCAAGAAATTTCCACCAGACTTTCCATGTCAGTATGCTCTCTGAAGTTGACTCTGCTGGTCCTAGAGTTTTGTTTTCTCAGTTACATGTAAAATAAAATTTGTGAAATTCTACATCTTAGTTCTGTTGTAGGTATAGGCTATGGGTTCTTTTATTTACTTTATACTTTGTATGGGACTTTGGAGATTATGTGGAGAAATTAAATTTAGGTAGCTATCGTTATCCTAAATCAACATTTGTTCAAATGATTATTTCTTAATTATGATTGCCCCAGGGAGGCTTCTAATCCCAGTGCTGGGAAACAGACAGGAGGATTCCTGGGGTTCTCTGGCCAGTCAGTGTAGTGGTGAGCCACATGTCTCAGTGAAAGACCCTACTTCAACAACCTGCACATGCGTGCACACACACACACATGCACACACATGCACACACACACACAATTGGGCTGTTAAATTATTAGCTGAATTCACTAACCATGCATATAATTTTACATTTTGCTGTCAAAGTAGGAATAGAAGACATATGTAACATTACTAATAGTATCAGTGATGGGAAAGTTGAAGCTAAAGACCTTTTATCTACCTTGAAGAATTTTGAAGACTCTTCATATGAAGGCCAGCCTGAGTTGTTGCCAACTCCTGAAATAGATGGTGAATACTTCAGTTACTTCTCAGGTCCTCTCTTTAAATGATAATGTTCACATAGGCTATTTTTTAAAAGAATGACAGCACTGAATGTTTAGGGAGTTCATTGTGGAATTGGTATGTCCACATGTTAGTCACAGTGAAATATACATGACAGTCCTTATTTGGGTGAGACCAATACAAATAATCTGTTATTCATATTTTTAAATCAAACGTTCATTTATTGAAGTGTCATGGTTAAAATAAAAAAAAATGCGGTGTTTCTGTTTCTTCAACCCTGATTTCCAGAGGTGACACAGAGCTCTATAGACTTTGGGGTTTCTTTACTGTAGAATATAATCAGTCATTGACTGTCACTGTCATGTTCATAGGCTTTTTAGACTTGCTGAGGTGTTGAAAGACAAGACACATGTGACTTCTGGAGTCATTAAAAGGCATCTACTGCATGGTCCTATTTAATTTTCAAAGAGAATTAATGTCCTACATGGCTTGCAGTTTATCTCAGAGATGGGCAGCCACAGTACTTGTTAAGGTGCTTGGTCTAGTTGACTACATGAGGGAGGTTGCAATAAAAAACTTGTGTCTTTCTGTTCTGTAATTCCTTTATTTTTCACATTAACCAAACAAATTTTTTGTTCACATTTGTGAACCTGAGAAACTTTAGGTATATAGATACAGTATTTGGGCCCTTGAGTGGCATTCTGTTCCTTTGAGTATGAGATCTTTAGGATATTTGGGTTATTTTTGTTTTGTTGTTGTTTGAGACAGGGTCTCATATATCTTAGTCTGGCCTCAGACTTAGTATGTAACTGAGAATTATCTTGAATTTCTCATTTTCCTTCCCCCCTACCATGTACTGGAATTACAGATATGCACCACCATGCCTGGTTGATGCAGTGCTAGGGATCAAACCCTGGGCTTTATGCAGCCAAGAAACACTTTACTAGTCGAGCTGCATCCCCAACCTATATGATCTTTTTTCCTTCCTTTATGTATTTATCTTGCTTAGTACATTCTGGTGTATGAGTTCACTAAGTATGAAGTACCTGAATTTAAATTAATATTAACTGCTAATATTTGGCCAAGAATACAAGGAGTGTGTGGCTATTTGCTGATTGTCTTTGTTCTATCATATGAGACGTTTTGGATACAAAAATGATCTGTAAAATAATCCTTTAATTCAGAAATTTATCTGACAATAATACTTACAACAGAATAAAGATATATAAGTATGATGATTTCCATAAAGGCATTATGGAAAGATAAGAATAACCTGGGTGCCTAATAAGTATGCAAATTATGGTCATCTCTTCCAAAGACACTGTGCAGCCATTAAATTAAACTCATGACCTGTAAATTGAAATGTAAAATATATGGAAGTACAAATTGAAATGTAAAATATACAGAAATACATGGTCTATATCTTCATAAATAAGCTTAAAATGTGTGGGTAAGAGTGCTTGGGAGAATAGAAATGATTATAAGTTGCAGGGGTTACCGGTGGACTGCATTTTCAAGTATGCAATGCATTGGAGAGGTTATAAAATCAGTGTAATAAACCAAACTTTTCTTCCCTCCCCCCTTCCTTTATTTTGTGGCCCATGTTTGCTATGTAATGAAAGTAAAGAAGCTATCATTTGGCTAGCTTGTGACAACGTGAGGAAGTGATAGGTAGATCTTGCCACCTTTCTAGGAGTCAACATCTGTGTTGTGATGTTTGTTGCCAGCAGACATATAATGTCTGTGGCTGTAGAGAATCTATACCTATATTCCAGTGGCTTTGAGAGATCTTTTTTGTCTGCCTGTTTGGGGGTTTAAACTGGTCCCCCATAATGATTTATTGAAACTTCATAGAGTATGTTGATATGTAAAATGGCTATCAGTTTCCCCCCATTCTGAATTGACCATCAATAAAGTTGCTACCTTCAAGTGTGTTTTGTCTGATGCCAATATAGCTTGTATTATATTTTAGTGCATTTATTTTTTCATTCCTTTTTTAACTTTTGCAAAAACTTTGTTGAGAACTTCATACATGTATATAAGGTGTTTTGATCAAATCCATGTCCACTCCCTCCCCTCCAACATTCCCTCCTCTGAAGACGTAAGCTTAAAATCTTTTAAGGATTAGATACAAGCTCCCAAATACTTTTGACATTTTCGGCCTTTGGAACAGAGTATATTGCTATCAGGCCCAAGGACATTTTGACTTTTACCCAAGAAACTGGCTACATTTCTTTGGGGTCTTTTTACCCTAACTGCCTAGCCAGTTCCTACCTCCTATTCTTATCACACCATCCTCTGAAGAGGTTACCCAAATTGCAGGTAGGGAATAGGGAAGCAGACTGCTCTGGCTTCTTCCATGCTGAAGAAGGATGCAGGGGGTGGCAATTGGAGTACC